CAGGTTTTGACTCCATCAGCAGCCGGAGATAGCATTCCTCCTCAGTCTGTATATGTTGTGAATAATCGGTGTGATACTGACATTAAATGTTCTTTTCACAGGCTGTTGCATGCTTGATTCTCGGAAATTATTGATGAAGCAACTTCAGAGGCCTTGTAGGGACTTATAAATGATGGGGAAATAGAAACCTCTTTATGTAGAGAAATATTTTTTCTATTATTATTATTAAATTTTATATAAAGGCTAAACTCCAAAGATGTTGTACAGTTATAAGATTTTGATGATGTTTGCCTTTGAAACATTTCATTATGCAAGATTAACTCCTTTTTCTCTTTAGGTAATATTTATTTTAACACTGATAAGATATTAATTTAAATGCAGAATTTTTTATACATGGAATTAAAATATACATTTGGGGAATTTTTACATCGAATACATTTCAAGAGCAATGACACTTAATAAGTTCACTTTATAAGACTGAATCTAATATTATCACTGGGAGAGACAAAGGTGCCTCAAAAATGATCTTATTAATTATTCCGAGGATCTTGTTTCATTAATTTGCTGACTGGTGTACAGTGACTTGTTTATTTCAGTGGTTCGTTAATGTTGTGGAGTGAAGACTTACACTAAAGTGCTGTTCTCATGTACCCTAGTTTGCTCAACCTTAGTAGTTTACAAACACTGCTATACCATACATACCTGATACAGTAGTAATAACTTTCAGTACATTACTGTACTCTGTATACTTGACCATAACAACTGAGAATGGCATGCACATGACACCTTCAGTTATGTAGGGTATGGTTCATGTACAGTAAGTAGAACATTTGCTTTCATTTTCAAGGAATGCCTCTGAATATCTTCTGCCACTACATTTTTTCTGTGGTACCAATTTCTTTGGTGAAGAAAAGTTTGTAACCTACAGCTCAATGACTTCCTCTGTTAGTGCACTGTGTTGTGTGATTACTCATGAACTCTAATTTGAAAATATTCTCTCTTCCGAACTTGTCACGTCTCTGTACACAACTGTACTGGACGTCTTCCAGCGCTTGATGGAGGTACTGTGTAGTGTTGTGTAGATGATCTAATTTTTTTTTACTTACACTAATTAATCAATAAAAGTCTGTCTATGTTCTGCACTCACTGGCTATAACTCATTGAAAAAGAAAAATTCTAATTAGCCAAGAAAAATATATTCAAAAGCTATTAAGAAAACTGAAAGTAGTTTAAATTCCATAGACAACTTTTGTACACTCTTGGACTTGGGGATGTCAGGTACTGTACAATCCTAAATACTGTACTACACCATTCCCAAATCTTAAGTGTGTCAACACACATTACCAGAATTACTAGTGTGTAGTTTTAATACCTTGCATGCTTTTTTTTTTTTAATTATCATTTATGTTTTACTCGTTGGTATTAGTTACTGTAGTAGGCATTTCTACTTCCCATTATTTTTTTGATCCACTTTATATGATGGTCTTAGTGTATTTTTGCACTACGTAAGTATAGTAGTAGGCATGTGGTTTATTCCATCACTGTCTGACTTGACACTACACATTAAGGTCAGAAGATACAGAAGAACAGCTATTCTGAGGGAATTCTATTTTAACCACCAATAACAATACTAAATTTTTCATTTCAATCACCAGTCTACAATATTTTATCCTTGAACACTAGCATCTTAGGCACTGTATGTGCATATTATTACCTATAATCACTTCCTTCATCAGTTTAATTAAAAAAATCTTCCTACTATATTTCCAAAATTTTAACACACTACTCAAAAACCTGGGCCTAATATTCTAATCAGCAATATAATTTTAGATTCAAATAAACTGATATACTAATAGTCATAACATTTGAAACTCGTGTGTATAATTTTACAGAATCAGTTACATAACAGATACAGTATACAAAAATTCAACAGAATATATAAAAAAAATTAATATAAAATTAGTTATTTTCATGCACAGTCAATATAAGTATACTTAACATGACATTAAACTCCACACAAATTTTGCAACTTAGTCAAGTGACATTCCATTTATGATTTCTAATGTTAACTTAAGACTAAGTTGAAGGAGGAACCACCATTGTGACCTCTATGTCCCTCCCACAGCAACTGGACTCAGCAGAGAACAAGGAACACCTCATCAAGGAGTACCAGGATCGCCTACAGAGCAAGATCAACCCCAAGAACCTGCGCAAATATGTGGAAGCTTTCCTCAAGTGAGTCTGTGTGTCAACTGCCCTGTAATAGTAACATAGCATTAGGGTTAATTTGCCCAAAATGCTTTGCATACTAGTAGCTTTCTTTTGTGCCTACCAATGTTTTCTTACATGTTAACTACTTCATTTTCACCACATACAGAAATAAAATTTGTATTTGTAAGGCAGGGTGACTCAAAGAGGGGAACCACTTTTATCATTCCTCATTCTCTGTCTTACCAGAAGTCCACAGACATCTCAGTTCAAATTACCCTCCAAACTGCAAACTTGTACCTTATCTTTCAATGTGCAGGAGCTGTGTCCCACACATTTTGTTTGATAATTGGAGAGATTGTCTGGTTATTTTTTTTTTCATTTGAAATTGTCAAAATCCATTAGAGAGGCTTCACTGTATTTACATTGGTTCAGTGATCAACAATTCAATCACTCCGTAAGAGTGATTGAATAGAGGTGGAGAAACTACAGCATGACAGTTAATAATTAACCCTTTGACTGTCACAAGCCCCTTTCTATAACTGTCATTCTATGTCGCAAATGATAGAGAATCTTTTCCTGATGGTAATGACACCAAAAGTATGAAATTTGGTCGAAAACTCACGGAATTACGCTCCCGCGAAGTTAGCGTCTCGGTGACATGTACACATCGCCGATTTCGCTGACTTTGAGCCCTGTTTTTGGGGAATTCCATTGCTCCAGTTGACCAAACTCATAGCTATTTCTTTAGAACTCCATTTTTTCTATCAGTTGAGCACAAGAAACCGCCCATTTACCGATTTGAACTACCCAATAAAGTGGTCAGAAATTGGCAATTTGGCCAATTTCATGCAAATTAAAAAAGATGCCAATTTCAAAATAGGGTCCAGAATAAACAATATAGACATTCTTGGCACTAAAATAACATATCCTCTGTTCATTAGTCACGTCTCTAGGCCCCTCTTATTTTACTATTGCTTTATATTTTGATTTTTTATTCATACAAAAAATACAAAATTTACTGTTATGCATACTGCATTATTGTAAAAATGGTATAAATAATATCAGTGCACTAGTGAAAGAATATTAGACTCCCAGTTGATGTGTATTGGACGTGTGGTGTGATTTGCTTACACCTGAACGCTGGTAAAAATCGAACATTTCTGCTACTTTGAGCTCAATTTCACGGTTGTTTTCATCATGAAACTAATCAAACTCATCTCTATTTCTGTAATATGTTTTCCATTTTATCACGTGAGACCATGAAAACGAGAATACAGTGGTCCCTCGTTTTTCGTATTTAATCCGTTCCTGGAGGAGATACTATTATCGAAATCTACGATTTTCGAATCAATTTTCCCCATAAGAAATAATGTAAATACAATTAATCCGTTCCTGACACCCAGAAGTATTAAAACAAAAAAATTTTTTACATGAAATATAGATGTAGTACATAAACAATACAATGGGACATGATGAAGGAAACATTAACAGCATAACACTTATCTTTATTGGTGATTCTTCTTAGTGTATGGAAGACTGGAGGAGGAGAGAGATTGAATTAGTTACTGTTTGGAAGGGGAATCCCCTTCCAGCAACACCTCAGGTACCAATTGCTTTTCTGGGGTTGCTTCTCTTCTCTGTTTCTTAATGCCACTAGGACCAGCTTTAGAGTCACTGGAGTCCTGTCTCGCAAAATAACTGTCCAGAGAGCTCTGTTTCTGGCGTCTCTTTAACACTTCCCTAAAATGGCTCAAGACTTTGTCACTGTACATGTTGCCAGCATGGCTTGCAACAGCCTTGTCAGGGTGATGTTTCTCCCTAAATCTTTCCATCTTACCCCATATTGCAAAAATCTCCTTAATTTCTGAAGAAGGCACCTTCTTCCTTCTCTCTTCCTCCTCCTCTGCAGCAAGATTCTGAGCTGCGATCTGTTGCTGTTCCTGCTGAAGCTCTTACAGCTCCTCAGTAGTGAGCTCTTCATTGTGGTCTTCCAACTCTTCCACATCTTCCAAACTCACATCCAACCCCATGGAACTCCCCAGTGCCACAATAGATTTAACAACAGACATAGTCTCATCAGGGTCAGTCCCAAACCCTTCAAAATCCCTCTTGTCGACACAGTCTGGCCACAATTTTCTCCAAGCAGAGTTCAAAGTCCTGGTAGTCACTCCCTCCCAAGCCTTACCTATAAGGCTTATGCGATGGAGGATACTGAAGTGTTCTCTCCAAAAATCTCTTAGGGTCAAGTGAGTGTCTGAGGTCACATTAAAGCACCTTTCAAACATTGCTTTGGTGTAGAGTTTTTTAAAGTTTGCAATGACCTGCTGGTCCATGGGCTGGAGGAGAGGAGTGGTATTCGGGGGCAAGAACTTTACTGTAACGAACCCAAACTCCTCGAAAATTAGATCATCCAAGTTTGGAGGATGAGCAGGTGCATTGTCCATTACTAGGAGGCACTTGAGATCCAATTTCTTTTCCAGGAGGTAATTCTTCACACTAGGGCCAAACACTTCATTGAACCACTCGACGAAAATTTCCCTTGTGACCCATGCCTTACTATTAGATTTCCAAAACACACACAATTTACTCTTTATAACATTCTTTTTCTTGAACACTCTGGGATTTTCAGAATGGTACACTAGTAATGGCTTCGCTTTGAAATCCCCACTAGCATTAGCACAGAACATGAGCGTCAGCCTGTCTTTCATAGGCTTGTGTCCTGGCAGTGCCTTTTCCTCCTGTGTAATGTAGGTCCTCTTTGGCATTTTCTTCCAAAAGAGGCCTGTTTCATCACAATTGAACACTTGTTCAGGTTTCAGTCCTTCAGCCTCTATGTACTCCTTGAATTCATGCACATATTTTTCAGCCGCTTTGTGGTCCGAACTGGCAGCCTCACCATGCCTTACCACACTGTGTATGCCAGTACAGTTCTTAAATCTCTCAAACCAACCTTTGCTGGCCATAAATTCACTCATATCACCACTATTTGCAGGCAATTTCTTTACCAGATCGTCGTGCAACTGCCTAGCCTTTTCACAAATAATCACCGTCATAAGACTATCTCCTGCTAATTGTTTCTCGTTTATCCACACCAATAATAACTTCTCAACATCTTCGAGTACTGGTGATCTCATTTTTGTCAGCATATTTACCCCCTTTGCAACAACAGCATCCTTGATTTCCTTTTTCTTGGCCACAATGGAACATATGGTTGTGTAGGGTTTGTTATACATCCTGGCCAGTTTGGCTGCACTTAAGCCACTTTCATATTGTTCAATGATATTTTTCTTAAATTCAATCATATTTCTCACCTTCTTTACCAAAGGCTTGGCACTAGGAGCTTTCTTTGGAGTCATGGTAGCTTATTTAGTACTTGCAACCACTAAAATGAGTGGAATATTACGAAATATTTCGTAGGAGCACGTGAGGGGACCTTCACTCATTGGTAAACAATGCCAGACTGGCTGGGTAGGGAGGCCGCCCCGGCTCACACCGTGCGTATGCGTCCCAGACGACCTACTATTCGCGAGTCAATCTACGATTAGCGAGCCCATGTTTATACGAAAATATCGCTATGATTTCCAAAATCTACGACTCTTGAGAACTACAATTATCAAGGGACCACTGTACAACTATAAATACTATATGAAAATACACCTCAAAGTCGGCATTTTAATCCAAAAAAACGGTCAGTTTTTTTTCTCATTATGCATTGCGTGCTGCAGGATTTTTTTTATGTGGTGCATACTGACCACACAGACCCATTCTCTCACATGTGGGCCTTCCAGCTTTCTCCTGCTTGATTTGAAGCTGCTAGAATTTATGCGTATTAATATGTCCGAAACACTGGCTCATAAGACATATATATACGACCAAAACAGTCAAAGGGTTAATGGATATTAAATTTACGAGATTTATTAGGTGCTTTTTAACTTGTTAACTGTCCAGATGTAGATCTACGGTTTCACTGCTAGCACTCCAAACGTAGATCAATGTTTTATTTTTCCTGCCTCCAAATTTGGCACGATTGGCATTGCCTGGTCAGTATAGAATTGGTCTCAACACTTGGTGTGCACAATATTAAAAAAATCTGAGACCACTTAGTACCTTGTTGGAGCACCAGTTCAGTTGAGCGCCAGCTACAGGAAACAGCGCTGAAAACACCAAGAATTCATTGATGTCATATTATCATATTAACACTCCCCTTTTAAGAGGAAAGTGATGTTGACCACAAGTTTAGTGACTTGAGATGGATGTGGCCACAAGTGGTTGAGGAAATATCAAAAACCTTGATAATAACCCATGTGCAATATTTGTGCCATATCCTTTTAATTTGGATACCACTGGTAGTGTCATTCTGCCAGAATGTCCTATAACCTATGTCCTAAGTAAAGAGAAACAATTCTGGAACATGTATGATACGTGTTTGGCAGGCCAGCTGGCTGTCTGATTGACTTTGGCTGTCTCTATCTCTGTATCTGTCTATGTCTGTCTTTATCTATCTCTGTCTCTGTCTTTATCTCACAGGTATATACAGTGGACCCCCGCATAACGATGGCATCACATAGCGATTAATCCGCATACCGCTTGCTTTAATCGCAAAAATTTTGCCTCACATACCGCTTAAAAACCCGCTCACCGATTTTCGTCCGAGACGCGTCCAATGTGCGGCCTGAGCCACGCTCACATGTTCCGCCGGTGGCATTGTTTACCAGTCAGCCTCCGCGGTAACATCCAAGCATACAATCGGAATATTTCGTATTATTACAGTGTTTTCGGTGCTTTTTCTGGAAAATAAGTGACCATGGGCCCCAAGAAAGCTTCTAGTGCCAACCCTACAGCAATAAGGGTGAGAATTACAATAGAGATGAAGAAAAAGATCATTGATAAGTATGAAAGTGGAGTGCGTGTCTCCGAGCTGGCCAGGTTGTATAATAAACCCCAATCAACCATCGCTACTATTGGTGGTACAGCTGCTGCAGCTGCTGCACTGTCAGCTGCTGCTGCTGCTGTAGCATTGTCTG